TTTTTCTTAAAAAATTTCAAAAAGTTCCGCCAGAGACAATCATTCCGGCTTGGCCCCAAAAGCCCCTTCTGCCCGCGTTACAAAAACAGAACTTGTCGCTACTCTTGGGGCCCACCCAGTTTGCTCACTTATGGCTGGCTTGCGAACTCACCCACAGTCCTTGCGTCATCGGACATTGTTGTTTGGGTGGTTTGTGGCGAGTATTCAGGACTGTTTGACGAAGTCGACACCTGACCAAGCCGGTATATAGAAGTCTCGTCCAGGATAGAAAAAGCTGGACAAGTTGCCAAAGGTGGAAGTACCTATTCCGAAAGCTTTAGATTGCGGGAGGGGGGGTGGTGTGTGGTGTTGCCCAGGGGTGGGGGAACCCTGAATGTAAACAAAGGCACCGAAACGCGCTGATTGGGCGCGCATTCACGAAAGACAACAGACGGGCCTTGGGCCATGAGATCATGCTGGCCACGTGACCACGAACAGAGGATCCCAACGATGGGCGGCAAGGCGGGTCCCCGCCCCCAGCATCTGGCTGCATCAGCTCCAGCCGACGGTACGTGCACCGAAGCCTCGGCCCAGCGCCGGCCATCCTCTTTCTCCATCCGTCGAGGGCACATGCTGTCCCGCCTCGTCTTCGACAGACATCTACAGCTGTCTCCTGATCACCACCATCCCATCTCGCCAGAGGGCATGCAAGGTAGACGCTGAACCTGCTGCCTGATCAAGCATGGCGATACGAGAGGAGCTCGTCGCTTCGGCGGTATGTCTTTGCATTCCCCTGCGTCTTCCTCAGAAGATTCAATAACTGTTGTGTTTCGAGCGAAGCAGCTAACACCCGTCCAGGCACAATGTCAGTCTCATCCATCATGGTGGCCGACAGCAATTCCTTGGATTAATCTAATCAACTCACAGTCCTGCTTGACCCGAGCGTCGCAAACTCATCCGTCGACAACCGCGTCTCCTTCCTCCGAACCAAGAACCTCACACAAGAGGAAATCGATGCGGCACTCGCCCGCGTGGGTGTGCAGTCACCAGCCGGTACCGCACCACCGCCAGCCATGGGCAGCCCCTACCAGAACAGCCCGCAGCAGTACTACGGCCAACCATACGCGCCGCAACATGCCGCCTGGCAGCCGCCCCCGCCTCCACCGAAGCGGGACTGGAGGGACTGGTTCATCATGGCGACGGTCGTGGGCGGCGTCAGCTACGGAGTATACGAGCTGACCAAGGTATGTTGAGAACTTATACGGCGCTGGCCATGAGCCATAGATGCGCTGAGGACCATCGACTGACATGCGCAGCGCTACGTGTACCCTCTTATCGCACCACCAACCCCCGAACGCCTAGAACAGGACAAGAAGACGATTGAGGAGCAGTTTGACGGGGCCTTTGCGCTGGTGGAGCAGCTGGCCAAGGACACGGAAGCGCTCAAGGCGGCGGAACAGGAGCGAACTGAGCGGCTGGACACGGCCCTCTCTGATTTCGAGGGTGTCATCAACGAGCTCAAGTCGGCGAACAAGCGCCGCGACGACGAGGCGCAGCGGATCCGCGATGATGTGTACAACCTCAAGGATGCTATCCCCAAGGCTCTCGAGACGCAAAAGGATCTGACGGATCAGAGGCTGCGCGAGATCAACGCCGAGCTGACGAGCCTGAAGACGCTCATCTCGCAACGCATGACCGCTCCCTCGCCATCGCCCACGCCGGTCAACGGCTACCTCCGCCCGAACAACAGCACCAGCGGAACGCCGGCGACACCGAGCGGCAACAAGTCGGCGTCGGTGGCTGACGAGAAGCCATCGCCCGAGCCGACGACGCCCTCGAGCACCGAGCCGGCCAAGCCCAACAACTTTAGCAGCGCCGGTAAGAGCCTCGCGCTCGGCGGTTCGGGTGCCAAGGCTTCCATCCCCGCCTGGCAGATGGCCATGGCGAACAAGTCGACCAACTCTTCATCAGCTGCCAGCAGCGGTGACGCCGCGGGCGCTTCGCAGGCTCAGGCTGGTGGCTCTGCTTGACCTCAGCAGGAGTAGGCCCGCACGGGCAAGGCAGGCAGTTTGTATAGTACGATGAGGGTACAGGTAGCGAACGGCGTGTATGGGTTGGATCTACGGACTTGCGAATCTTGTATGCGGCGAGGAAGTTGCACCGGGCAGTAGTACATGGATGTTTTTGAAAATGACATAGTTGGTGAGACTCAAACATGGCAAGTTCAATGTCACATAAAGGGACCTTGCTTTTGCGGCCCTGGTCGCACTGTTCTGTGTGGGCATCTTACTTCATGCCCATGAAGAGTTGTATCAGAAAGCAAAACATTCACAGCCCCACGGAGCGTCCACCGCGATTGACATGGCTGCATCAGCATGTGAATCGAGTCTCATACAGGTGTGCTGCTAGCCATGTTCCCAGTGGTGCATCCCTGGTGCAGATGGGCTGGTCTCCTGACCGCAAGGGTTTCCGTATTGGGGTTGCTCCAGCCGAGAATCCATCCAAGCGTGTCCATTGACTGGCACCAACTCGCAAGTCCACCTGTATTCTGACAACTCTCGCATGTCCATTCCGCCCTGGGGCGACAGCACTAGCGCGCCGCCCCTTCGCAAACTCGCAGACAGAACCCAGCACCCGAGGCTCGTTCTTCGTCATGGATGCCCTTGGGTTTGTTCGACGGGCATGGTGGCATGGCAGCATGGCCTCGATTTGTGTTGGACCTGGGATGAACTGCACTTGCCACTGAGAAATCTTGCCACACCTTGTTCTGGTGCCCTCCCCAACCTGTCAAGCAGGCCTCTCTGGATTTCTTTTCTTCTTTCGCCCGTTCGTCATCCCATCCTATCCCGCAAGGAATGCTGAATCGTCAAGCGTCACCCGCAACGCCCGCCATGTCGACCCCACCAGCACCTCAACCGCCGTCCGAGACTGAAACTAGCTCGACCTTGACAGTGAGGCAGCAAGCCAAGCTTCTTCTCGCGATCCTCCCCAAGGTTCCATTGATCGTCCAGACGGCTCTGCTCCATATATTGCACCTGTCGGCGTCAGCGAAACATCTTGACCTCCACGGCGAATTGATCGTTGCCGTTCTTCGTTCGTTCTTGCAAACCAACAAACCACGCACCGTTTCGTCGACGCAGCGTCTTGTCAATCGGGATCCCGGCGTCAAGGGCAGGATATGGGTGGCCAACTATGCCGCGCCCGTGCCGCCAGAGACTGGCGTCCGTGATGCGCTGACTGCCGCCATCGAAGCGCTGCAAGACCATTCAACGGCATCATCCGCCAAGGCGCCCCTTCGGCTGCCCAGGATCGTGGCGGTCGAGGCCGAGTGGACGGGCTACCGCGCGGCCGCAGCCCAGGACGCGACACTGCCAGCCATGTCGGAGAGGCAGAGGTATGACGAGATGCAGAAGGAGGTTCAGACCCCGCTCACCGTTCTCTACTTCCACGGCGGCGCCTACTATGTCGGCGACCCATGTGCCTACCGGGCCGTTACGAAGAAGCTGGCCAAGCTGACGGGCGGTCGATGTTACTCGGTCCGGTATCGTCTGGCGCCCCAAAATCCGTTTCCGGCAGCCGTGCTGGATGCGTTGGCCTCCTACCTGGCACTTCTGTATCCCCCACCAGACGCTTACCACGAGGCGGTCGAAGCACAAAACATTGTGTTTTCAGGTGACAGGTGAGTCAAGAGGCCCATTCCAGATGAGCCATGGCGCGCTGCCGAACGTGCTGACAATCGTGTGTGCGCAGTGCCGGCGGCAACCTGAGCCTAGCCCTGCTACAGACCCTGCTGGAGCTCCGACGGCAGAGGCGCACCATTGCCTGGTTCGGCGAGGAGCGCGAGGTGCCGCTGCCGGCCGGCGTCGCCGCGTGCTCGCCGTGGATGGACATCACGCAGAGCTCGCCCAGCTGGGAGGCCAACGGCGCCTTTGACTACCTGCCGACGCCGACGCGGCACCGCGCCATCAGCATCCCCCCCTGCGAGGCGTGGCCGGCGAGCCCGCCACGCACGAGCATGTACGCTGACGACGCGCTGCTCGCGCACCCGCTGGCGACGCTGCTCATGGCGCGCGACTGGACCGGGGCGCCGCCGGTGTACGTGTGCACGGGCTGGGAGCTGCTCGCAGACGAGGACAAGTACATTGCGAAGCATCTGCGCAGCCAGGGCGTCCCCGTCGTGTTCGAGGAGTACGAAGGCATGCCGCACTGCTTCGTGCTGCTGATGCCCGGCATGCCGAATGCGCAGCGCTGCTTTGAGGGGTGGGCGGGGTTCATGAAGGCCGTCGTTGGCACATTTGGCGGGATCGAGTCGCGGGCCGTCAGCATCAAGGCCAAGACCCTGGAGGAGACGGAGCTCAGCTTTGAGAGCCTCAGCGAGGTGACTGAGCAGGCGATGAGGAGTCGGGTACTGAAGTCAATTGCAGATAATGTTCCAGCGCCGCCCGAGGCCTCGGCCAAGTTGTAGGGCGGCATCTGCCTGATATTGGGAACAGCGGCGATGGGCTTTTTTTTTCATTTTTTTGGTCAGAGACAGCAGCGTTCTAGTTCAAGATTTGCATTGAGAATGATGCGAACCATATTCAATTCTGAAAACCTTGTCTACGATTGCTATCAGAGCACTCAAGATGCTGTTGGGGCAGGTATCAACAAGATATCTGAGGTAGGTAGGTAGGTAGGTAAGGTACCTTACCTCAGGACGCCCCTGACAGTTCAATGGTGAAGCTCGGACATGTACTCTCTGGCAGTGGCTGCACCAAAAAGGTACAAGCTCGGATCCGAATGCGGGTCCCGGCCAAGGGTCACGGAGCTTCTTGAACAATTATTCACTGTCTTGCTAGAGCACCTTGACACACACTCGCTCTGATCACATACACTCTCCCAACCCAACTCATCCTCCCCCCCCGACCGATGGAGCGCCATAAGCAGGCCGTGACCAGGATAGCCTCCTCGGTTCGGGCCTTCTTTGACCGCAAGGAGCCCTACCGCATCTTCCACGGTTCGACCAACAGCACCCGTCCCTTCCGTCGCGATCGCTTCGTGGACATTAGTGCCCTGAACAATGTCCTCGAAGTCAACAAGGCTCGACGCATCGCCCTCGTCGAGCCCAATGTTCCCATGGACCGTCTCGTCGAGAACACCCTCCGACATGGCCTGATCCCTCCCGTCGTCATGGAGTCCCCCGGCATCACGGCGGGCGGTGGGTACGCAGGCACGGCGGGTGAGAGCTCCAGCTTCAAGCACGGCTTCTTTGACGACACGATCAACGAGGTCGAGATGGTCCTGGCCAACGGCGACGTCGTCAAGGCGAGCCCCACCGAACGTGCAGATCTCTTCCGAGGCGCCGCCGGTGCTGTCGGCACCCTCGGCATCACGACTCTCATCGAGCTGCAGCTCATCGAAGCGAAAAAGTATGTCAAGACGACCTACCACCGCACGCGCACCGTGGCCGAGGCTGTCGAGCTCGTCAAGGCCGAGACTCTGAACCCGGAGAACGACTACGTCGACGGCGTCGTCTTCTCCAAGAGCCACGGCGTCGTCGTCACGGGCACCCTGACCGACGACAAGCCGGCCGAGACCAAGCCCCAGACCTTCAGCGGCGCCTGGGACCCCTGGTACTACCTGCACGTCGAGGAGCGCACCAAGGCCGCCGGCACGACCGACGTCTCGGTGCCCGCCGTCGACTTTATTCCTCTGGCCGAGTACCTCTTCCGCTACGACCGCGGCGGTTTCTGGGTCGGCGCCGCCGCCTTTGACTACTTCCGCCCCGTGCCCTTCAACCGCTTCTTCCGCTGGTTCCTCGACGACTTTCTCCACACGCGCATGCTCTACCGCGCCCTGCACGGCAGCGGCGAGTCGGCCCGCTTCATGGTCCAGGACCTCGCGCTGCCGTACGAGAATGCCGAAAAGTTCATCGACTACACGACCGAGCACACGGGCATCTGGCCCCTCTGGCTGTGCCCCCTTCAGCAGACCCCGGCGCCCACCTTCCACCCGCACACGGACAGGCCCGCGCCCGCCGCCGCTTCCGCTTCCACTTCCGCTTCCGCCGCTGCTCCCCCGGCCGCCCCGGGGGCAGCGCCGCCCCAGCCCAAGGGCAGGCCGATGCTCAACATTGGCCTCTGGGGCTTCGGCGCCAAGGAGCCGGCGGCCTTTGTGGCGCAGAACCGCGCCCTCGAGGACAAGCTGCACGCGCTCGGCGGCATGAAGTGGCTCTACGCGCACCTCTACCAGTCGCGGGACGACTTTTGGCGCACGTACGACGCCGCCTGGTACGACGCCCTGCGCGCCAAGTACGGCGCCGACACGCTGCCGACCGTGTACGACAAGGTCAAGGTCGACGTCAATGCCCGCGCCGAGGAGCTCAAGCAGTGGCGCCAGCGGCTCAAGGCGACGTGGCCGCTCGCTGGCCTCTGGGGCATCTGGAAGTCCATCCAGAGCAAGGACTACAAGCTGCATCGCAATGCCGAGTGGAAGTTCAACAAGGAGAGAGACGCATAACTCGGTCGATCGTTGATCCGAGCCCGGCCGCCTTTTCATCGTGCCAGGCAGGCAGGCAGGAGGCTTATAGACAGAGGGGAAAAAGCTGGCAAGGTCATGATCTAGATAGACTGGGCAAGCTCGCCTTTCACCTGTATCATGCCGGCCTTGTACTATTGTACCACCACCGTCCTATTTAGACATGTCGTTCAACACATACCATTCCTTAGACCCAACAAACCAAGAAGAGCTCCTCGTTAGACATGACACTTGCATTGCAGACATCTCAGCCAGGACTTTAATCTATAACTGTTTATCATTGCAAAAAAAAAAAAAAAAGAGAAAAAAAAAAGTCCGCATTCACTGGGCAGCGTCATGTGTAACGCTCTCGCCCGCTCTAACGCAGTCGTTCGTGCATCTATATGCCGATGTAGAAATCATAGACCTCAAAGTACCCCCATGCATGTCTGTCTGCTTCAACGACAGCCCATCTAATTATTGCACCAGCCTCTATTAGTGCCAGGGGCCGGATCCAGTAGTTTCCCCCGTGTCGGCAGTACCGACCGCGCGCCGCGTTCCTCTCCGTTTTCCGTCTCTCAGTCTCCCCTAAGCCTTGATAGAGTACTCGCGTCTGAACATATCGTCGACCTTCTCGAGGTAGTACGTGCCAGGGGCGATGGTGGAGACTTCACCTGCAGGGGTAAAGTCCTTCTGCAGGTGAGCCTTCTTACGAAGGTCGCACATCTGAAAAAACACATTAGCTTCAAAGGAGTCTTTACACGCAGGATATAGAGCAGTGGGACGTACCGCCTCGTAGTCCACGGGGCTGAGGACGCGGCGGGCCTCCAGTCGGGAGCGAATGTCGAGAACCTTCTGGATGGGGGCGACGCTGCCCTCGATGCGGAAGGACATGAAGCTGGAGGCAAGACCAGATCCGTAGCTGAAAAGACCGACGCGCTTGCCGACAAGGGCCGCGTCGTCGACGTGGTAGATCAAGCTGGCGAGACCGCCCCAGACGCTGGCACAGTACATGTTGCCGCAGAGGGTGGCGACCTGGATGCCGGGGCTGACCCGCTCCTGGAACTTCTTCTTGGTGAGGCCCATGAAGGTCTTCTCAACGACCTTGTCGGTCAGAGACGTCTCGTACTCCATGTCGCGCAGCTCAGGGGCGACCTCGGCAAAGGCGGCGTTGTCGGCGTTGGCGAGGTAGTCGTGGTACAGCAGGCGAGCGTAGGACTTCTGGACGAGCTTGCAGTTGGGGGCGTGAAAGGCGAGGTAGTCGAAACGATCCAGGGACAGCTTGGCGGCATCGCCGTTGGCGTGGCCGTTAGCGACCTTGGCCTCCCGCTTGTTGTAGTCACGGTAGGCGGCGTCAAGGGCCTTGGTGTAGCACTTGTTGGAGAAGTGGCCGTCGACGTAGGGGTATTCGCTCGTCAGGTCGGGCTTGTAAAAGTCGTAGGCGTGCTGCATGTAGGTGCCGCGAAGGCCAGGCTCGGCAACGATGGGAGCGTTGGGGCCGACGAGGAGGGCGACGGCACCGGCACCACCGGTGGGGCGGGCGTTGCCCTTGGCGTAGAGAGCAATGTCACCAGCGACGACAATGGCGTCGCGGCCGTCCCAGGCGGAGGATTCGATCCAGTTGAGGGTGTTGAACAGGGCATTGGTGCCGCCATAGCAGGCGTTGAGGGTATCGACACCCTCAATGCTGGTGTTGTCGCCGAAGAGCTGCATGAGGACAGTCTTGACAGACTTGGACTTGTCGAGGATGGTCTCGGTGCCGACCTCGAGGCGGCCGATGGAGTTGGTGTCGATTTCGTACTTCTTGAGCAGGTTGCTCACCACGGTCAGAGCGAAAGAGTAGATATCCTCACGGTCGTCGCAGAAGGCCATCTTGGTCTGGCCGAGGCCGATCGTGTACTTGCCAGTGCTGGCGCCATCATGCTTCTCGAGTTCAGACTGCTCGACATACTAAACCACGAGGAGAAAATCCGAGGTCAGCAAGTGAAGCCAATGCGAGTAGGCACAGAAGCGGGCATTTCTTTCAAGAAGACGTGAGATCCGAGACTTGCGTTGGGCGCGTGAATTGTGCTGCAGGAAAAGGGGGAGCGCACAAAGGGAGGGGTAGGAGGGGCGATGTCGGTGATGGCGACAATTCCTCAGGACAAGTGCCAAACGTACCTGGCTGGGGAAATAGACCTCAATGGCCTTGATGCCGATGTTCTGGGGACGGGAAGCCATCTTGTACGTGATATGAGGTGTTGTGAATGGCTTCAGGGCAGAAGAAATGAGGATTGGCAAGAAGCGAAGGGGGGTTGTCTAAAGGCGGTCGTTAGCCAGCGTGCATGGTTTTGAAGGAGATTTCACCGCTGTTTTGATCGGTGCCCCGCGCGCCCTCGGAGAAAGGGGGGGGGGGGAGGGCATGAAATGAACTGAAGCGAAAAAGGCACTTGTCGATGAGGTGGTGTTCACTGGCAGAAGGGGGGGGGGGGGGGGGAGGGCCCCTCGGGCCCCTCCCCCTCCAACGAAAAGACGGCGGGGCCTCTAACGCAAACCGCCTCACTAACTGCTAAAAAAAATACAGGGGCTGGAGGGGCTCGGCCCATGAAGGACCCCCCCCGGATTTTTGGTATGCGAGCTCCCTGTGGCACAAAAATGAACCGAAAAGGTACAGGAAAAAAGGTGAAAAGTTTATAAAGGTGTCCGAAATGTTGGTGCCTGGTTCCAAAGGATGGGCATCAAGGTCCTCCAAAATCCCGAAGCTTTTTAACTCTTTTGCGGCCGCCCACCCGAGTCTGGTTCCAATGGCCCACGAAAATAGGGGACGATAAACCCGCGACTTTAATATTGTTCTCCACCGACTCTCAGTGAAGCAGACGCCTGCGAGGCCCGATGAGGAAAGGTTGGGCTCTTTCGTCCCGTCTGTCGCCGGTGCCACCCATGTCTGTGCCTGTGCTCGTGCCTGCAGTGCAACAGTTCCGCGCTTGCCAATGCCCTGCCTCGTGCCTCCGATCCAACAAACCCTGCACCTTGTTTTTTTGGCGCCTTGCCTGCCACCTCCTGCCTATGTGCCTCTTCTGTTGTGGGTGTCGTGTGTGTGACCCCATCTCCAACACCCCAGAGGTGCGTCACGCAACCGGCGGGCAACCACGGGCAGGCAGTGGCTTGTCTTCAGGGCACCGAGACAGCGGGGACGTGCCTGGATCAGGTACCTGCCTAGGCCACTCCCCCCCCCCCCCCCCCCCCAACGGAATCCCTCAGCGGGTCCCAATCGCACGCAACTGTCAAGCCTGCGTGGCCAATCAGGCCATTTTCACCAAACTAAACCTTGCGAAGCTTAACCTCCTTTCCCTTTCCTCCACCCCTCCCCATATCGACATCAACATCGACATCCCCCTTGCCTGTGCTCCAAGTACGGTAGAATCTGGTGGGTCAACACGCAAGAACCAAAGGCTGCCCCCTGCACAGCCACACGATGGTGCCTGTTACTATTGCAATCTCCCAATGCCAATCTCAACATACACACACACACACACACACACACACACACACACACACACACACACACACACACACGCGTCTCAGAGGTGATGGACATGGTGAATAGGTACTTCTTTGGCGTCTTACAACCTGCCAACAAAACAACCCCGCCGCCTCAGCCATCGTCAACGTCACCTTCAGCTTCTGACTGCCATTGTCAATCCCCTGGCCACGGGCGGCCACGTCATATCAGTCGTACCTCTCCGTGGCTAAGTGAACAGTCGTCTCTTCTACAGCCCCTGCGCTCGTGCATCTCCATCCACCAAGAACCTCCAAATGAAGAGGGCCAGCAGCATCAATGGTAAGCAACAAGTGCTCTCTGTATTGCCAATCGAGGTGGGAAGCATTTACTGTACAACGCCCATACTCACGACCTCGTTTGGACAGCCTCGCCGTGACTGTGGGGTCCTCGCCCGCTCCCTTCGTCCGCCGCGCGGCACACTTTTTTCTGTTCCTGCTCTCCGCCCTCGCCTTCTTGATGAGTTGCGTAGACCACGCGCACCTCGATCGTGATCGATCTATGATTCGACTGAAGTCGCATATCCCGAGTCCGAGCCTGGTCCTTGCAGGTGTTCGGCCCTCGCCGTCTTCGTCTTCTCAGATGCTGCTTCCTTGCCGTCGCTGGTAGTCTCCTTCTCCTTCTCCTTCTCCTTCTCCTCTTCTGCCCGCCTCTCCTCAGCCGCTTTAATCTCCTTCTCCTTCTTCTGCTTTCGAGTGTCTATCACCCACTGAGCTGCATGCTCGATCGCCGCATCTGGACTTCTCTTGTGCCTCATCAGGAACCCCTGAATCTCCGCTGGACTGAACTCGTGGGCCGGGATACGTGCCACAAACTCGTGCGACAGAGCTTCGACGTGTGCTACAGTCTTGGCCATCCGCGCCGCCGCAGCCTCGGCCGCAGCCTTCTCGGCGTCAGCATCAACTCCCGGCGCGTCGCGGTCCGCCGCCTCGTGGCCGTCTCCGTCGTCGCCCTCGAGGGGAGCGTAGATGGCGCGGAAAATGGCACCGATGATCTCGGCGTCAGCCTGTGAGAACTTGACAATCATGTCGACCCGGCCAGGTCGAATCAACGCCTTGTCGAGCTTCTCTACGTGGTTGGTCGTCATGATGAGGACGCGACCTTCCTGACTGGCGACGCCGTCCAGGATGTTCAGCAGGCCTGACAAGGAGAGCCTCGACGAGCTGCTGGTGGCAGCGGCGCTGAGGATACCTGTGGTCAGCTGGCCGGGCACCATGGCATTGGCAGAAGCATCGCTCCTGTCAGCATCGCCGGAGAGCACGTCGCTGACCTCCCGCGTATGTGTTAGACCGGCCGTGTCAATGTCCTCCAGAAGAACAACACACCGACGGGGGAGATCGGAAAACAGGGTGGCAAGCGTTTCCTCGTTGGCGACAATGGAGCTCAGGCTGACAATGTAGATCCGCAGCTTGAAGTAGCCGGCCAGCGCGAGTGCGAGCGAGCTCTTGCCGCAACCGGGAGGCCCCTCGTACAGGTAGCCACGACGCCAGGGAATGCCACGGTTGGAATACCAGTTCCGGGTAGCGGGTGACAGGTAGTCGGACACATCATCGATGAGCTCCTTCTTCGTCTTTTCGTTGAGGATGACGGTCGAGAAGGGCCGCGACGTCCGGGCCATGCACCTCTGCCAGGTGGGGTCGGTGGAACCCGCACGAATGCCCCCGCGGTAGATCATGGTCTTCTTGGTATCCTTCTTGAGATATTCCAGGCGGGCCTCGAGGAGAAGCTGCTTCAGGATCCAAGGCGAGCGTCCAAAGCAGGAGATGCTGATCTCCTCTCTCTCGCTGACGGTCAAGTAGGACCCTTGTTGTTGGTTCTGGCTCCTCTTGAAACGGAGGAGGCGGCCCTTATACCAGAAGATGTGGTTACCAAAGCTTGGCGTGTAAGCCAGACCCTTCTTCTTGTGTCCGACCTCGCTGGTGGTCGTGGCAGTAGAGTCGTCTTCATCGTCGTCCTCTTCGTCCTCGTCGTACGACCAGCGCATAAGGAACCAGGCTCTCGAGTTGAGGTTTGTGTTGGCAATGAAGCGTCGGGACTTCTTTGCGAAGCGCTGTGTGGCAACCCAGGCCATGAGAATGTTCTGAAGAGAGGGGGGGAAAGAGTCAGAGACCAGGGTATGTTTGCGGTAGTGAGTTGGCTGGGTTACTCACATAAATTTCATCGTCGGTTCGCACGTCGACAGAGGACATGAGATGGGACTCGATCAGGCCCCAGACATAGTCGCTCAAATATTGCCAGGCAAAGGTGGCACCACCACACAGGATGATCAGGGGGATGTAGACATTAAGATCGATGCCAAAATATTTTTGACAGGCACTTGTCAGGATGCTGAAGCCGGGGAAGAAGAAGTCCAGAATGGCCTGTGATGGCTGTGCTTGCGGAGCATCAAAGGACGAAGCCTCTGTCGCTGCCGTCGTGCAAGAGGAGTGTGACAGCGTATCCATACCGACGAAAGGCGTCTAAGGAAAACAACTGGAGATGGTGTGCGTGCGTATAGGCCGTTCTCATTCGTTTCCTCTTCCTGTGCGACAACGACAATGAAGCGAGAGCAGGAGGATGAGAGGAGGATGTCTATACAGACAGCGACAATGACGAAGGACCAGCGATGCCCTATATGTAGGTCGGCATCTACCTACGCTGTGCTCTCATCCTTCCAGGCTGACAGCCCCCCACCAGCAAATTGGATGATCATTTGGCCTCCCCCCAACTATGACTGCAGGCCGAGCTGGATTGATGGATGGATGAGGCCTCGCTCGAGGTGCGGAACACGTGTGGAGTCGCGCTGCTGACACGTTGGGTCGAGGACGGCGCCCAACCGGAAACCGTCACCGAGCTCTCTGTATGCGCGTGAGACACGGTGCTTGTGTCGCAACGCCGCCTATCATAGTTGGTGCACTCGATGAATTCACGCTGTCCGTGACAAAGAAAAAGCAGTGCCGGGAAATAGACTGATTGGTCGTGATCAAGTAGCTAACACGATCGTTGCTGTCGACTTGCACGCCACCCATTCATGTGAGCAGGAGGGAGCCTGGATCATGGCATCGTTGAGACCGGGGGGTTGGCGTGCTGCGATGCCTAGAACTTTGTGATGGCTCGTAGGCAACCACATGCGTGTTTTCCTGCACCTGGTGCGACGCCTGCATATGGCGAACCGCGTTGCGGGCCAGGGCAGGAGACCATATGTACCAGACATGAGAGTACCTAGGTAGAAGGCAGGTAAGGTAGCAAAAGTCGGGACGAAAAAGGTCACTTGGCAAGGAACCACCAGATGCCATCGGGTGGACTTGTGGTGCCGTCACCACATTCGGCCATGCACTTGTGGGACACCCGGCGGCCTCATGCCTAGGTGGTATTGGTGGCGGGCATGGCCAGATTGGTCTGGAACTGCCGGTCCACAGAACGCGGGTCTCAGGGCTGAAGAAGGGCTCCAATGACGTCGAGGCTGGGGAACACTGCCTACCTAAGGTAAGGTAGGTACCTACCGGTGACTCCTTTGGGTTGAGGCCTCTCCCAGTAGACCCTTGACACCAACTGGCCCTTTTACGAGCCTTTGTGCACAATAAAGACACTCACCGCACTGCTAGACACGAGAACAATTTTGCCTCTCATGCTTCCATCACCGGAGGCGTCGTATGACGTTTTCTGTGTGCAGTGTCTCGTCAGTGACGTAGGCAGGGACTTGGCATGGCACTGTCATTCCGCGTTTGGCTGACCAGCCTCCTCACAGGCTCAGGATTATAGGCACTTGTAGTCGAGCAAACAGACTCCGTGTAAGAAAAGAGTCAATTAGACCAATGGATTGTTTTGTACATTGCCACATAAAGCCGTGAATCACATCGCTAGCCCAGGTAAATACCTCCCTAAGTAACCAGAGTCCCTTCAATACCGAGGTCCTGTTTGCCCTCTTTGGGTTGAGTGGTATTCTCGGCCTCGGCGGCCGTAAGTTTGCGCCAGCTTGAACCTCCCTTGTTCACCTATAAGCCCCTCCGGCCGGGCATCAAATACAACCACAAACCAGCCAATGTCTGGCAAGTCTCATCATAATCCCCCTCGTGAGTAAGAATGACATTGCGGAGGCAGAAAGGTAAAGAGCGTTGGTTGTCGTTCAGCTCGCAACGACCCTATGGGGCCGTTCCTCAGATGCTCTCAGTCGTTCCAGTCTTCATACTTTCGATCCCCGCCGCCGCCGTTGCCCACATGGAAGAAGGCGGGCGCTGCTGCTGGTGCACTGGGAGGCGGCGGTGGTCCGAGATCGAAGAATGCCGGGGTCGGGCCCGAGGGCATCGGGTCCTGCGGCGCATTCAAGTCGAAGAAGCCGTCATTGGCACCACTTGCCATGGGCATGGGCATGTAGCTCACGGGGCTCGGCGGCCGTGGCACGTATGTGTGAGGCATTGTTGGGGGCGGCGGCGGCGGTGGCGGCGGAGTGAACCGCGGCATGGGCCGTACAGGAGGGGGCGGCATCTTAGGATACGAGGAGGGTTGTCGTCCTCCCGAGCTTCGGCTGCTCCTCCCGCCCCCGCTGCTTCGCTTGGAGGCGGCCCGCACGGAGATGCTGTCGTTTTGAAGTTGGGGCTCACCCAAAAGGAGGGGGACGTCGTCCTGCCGGATAAAGGGGATGGGTGGCGTAGCGGAGACCGTCCAGTACTAGACGATTCTCTTCTTCTGGACGGCCATTAGCCTAAACGGGGGGTGCCGCGCAGGTGTATTTCC